AGGAGAAGGAGAAGGAGAAAAGGAGAAGGAGAAGGAGAAGGAGAAGGAATCAAGAAAAGAAGAAAGGAAAAAAAAAAAACCCACAACTATCCTAGACAGGAATGGATAAAAGTTGGAACCAGAAGAGAGAAATAAAGGGCTAGGTGTGTAGCTCTGTGATAGAACATTTGCCTAGCATGCATGAGGCCCTGAATTCACTAATATCCAACAGAGAAATGGAATTTAATAATAAGAGAAGTGGAAGTCTATGACATGTCTGTACTCTTCACAAAGGGCCAATGCTAGTGTGTGCCAGTTTAATCTTACCAACTATTATAATGTTGAAATCCTTCCATACTGGAAAGAAGCCACTTCCCTGAGCCCTCCAATACCTGCAAACTATCCGGGCCTGCTGCAGGACCCCTAAGACTCCCAGCACAGCAGATAGCCTCYAAGACCTTATTTAGAACTATGGCCAGTACCTGTTCTGATTTGTTGGTGCCCTTCCACATTCATGTTTCTTTCACCTCTCCCCTTGAACCCCAGCTTAGAATCTCTAATTTCCCATACTTGAAGAGCAGCATCATGATGTGAAGAGTAGGAGGGGCAAAAGATATGGAAATAACAGAGAAAATGTAGCTCCTAGAAGTCAGAAGTCAAGGGTACATCCGTGTAGAAATGGCTGGGGCAGGAGATGTAAGCCTCGTCAGTGGTGTTCTGGCCAGACAACAGCGGGTCACCATTTGGCATGATTTCTTCTATTCTACAGTTTCTGAAGACTGGATAATTCAGAAAGAAAAGTCAGACCCTGATCTTAGTTGGGAGTTCCCAACCCAACAGGAAAAGTGAGGGACAATCGCAGCAAGGCTTGAGGGGAGCTTTGGAGGATGGAGGATGAGGGGAGGGGGAGGCATGTGAATTTCCTAATAAAAGGAATCACCAGGAAATGAGCCTCTCTCTCCAATGAGGAGTATGGAGCTCAGCCTTTTCTGTGATGGGTCAGAGAGGAAGGTAGGAAAGAATGTTTCCTCTTCCCTAGTTCCATCTCATCACTTACTTTCCATTCCCTCAGTGTTCAAGTTTTGCAGATCACAGGGTAAATCCGGCTCTGGCATTGGCTGTAATACAGGTTTCAGGTCTGGCTCTGGCACGCTGTGTGATACCCTGCAGAGTGTAGGCTCCAGCACAGGCTCCAGTGTGGGCTCCAGTCCTGGCTCCAGAGTGGTCTCCAGCACAGGCTCCAGCACTGACCTCAGATTCAGCCCTGCATCAAGCTCTAACTCCAGGCCGAGCCCCAGGTCTGGCTCTGATGGCAGCCCCAGCTCCAGGTCTAACAATGGCAATTCTGGCTCCAGTTTAAGCTCTGGTGGTTGTTGCAACTCATCCACTTGTCTAGATATACCAAGATAACAAAGGGGCAGAACTCAGTTATTTAGATGAAGTTGGGAATAGTAGAACAAGCAAAGGCTGTGTCTTTAGTTTAAGAAGTCAGCAGAGCAAAGGGCTAGAGAGCATGGGCTTTGAATCAGGCTTGACAGAGTTTGAATCATATCATTTATTAGCTGAGTGACCTTAGGTAAGGTATGTAACGTCTCTGAGTCTCAGATTTATCAACTGTAACAGGAGAAACAATATATAATTCTTTTTTAAAAAAAGATAGAGTGAGAGAGAGAGAGAGAGGGAGAGAGAGAGAGAGAACTTTAATATTCTTTTTTTTTTTAGTTTTTGGCGGACACAACATCTTTGTTTGTATGTGGTGCTGAGGATCAAACTCGGGCCGCACGCATGCCAGGCGAGCGCGCTACCGCTTGAGCCACATCCCCAGCCCAACAATATATAATTCTTGAGAGGCAATAAAATGGATAAAATTTGGGCTTTCGAGGCAGGCACAGTGGCACACACCTGTAACCCCAGCGGCTTGAGAGACTGAGACAGGAGGATCGCAAGTTCAAAGCCAGCCTCAGCAACAATAAGGTGCTAAGCAACTCAGTAAGATCCTGTCTCTAAATAAAATACAAAATAGGGCTGGGAATGTGGCTCAGTAGTCTAGGGTCCCTGAGTTCAATCCCTGGTTACTCCCACCACCCCCTGATTAAAAAAAAAAAAAAACAAACAGAAATTGCAGAAGAATGAAACTAGAGCCCTGTCTTCCATCCTTTAAAAAAATCAACTCAATGGGGCTGGGGATGTGGCTCAAGCGGTAGCGCGCTCGCCTGGCATGCGTGTGGCCCGGGTTCGATCCTCAGCACCACATACAAACAACGATGTTGTGTTTAGCCGAGAACTAAAAAATAAATATTAAAAATTCTCTCTCTCTCGCTCTCTCTCCTCTCTCACTCTCTCTTTAAAAAATAAAAATAAAAAAATCAACTCAAGAGCTGGGGCTGGGGCTCAGTGGTAGCGCACTTGCCAGGCATGTGTGAAGCACTGGGTTCGATTCTCAGCACCACATATAAATAAATAAAGGTCTATCAACAACTAAAATAAATATTTTAAAAAATCAACTCAAAATGAACCAGAGATCTAAATGCAAGACTTTAAAACTATGAAATGACTCAAAGAAAATACAGGGGAAACACAGTAAGACATTTGTATAGGCAATGCTTTTTGGATGAGCCTCAAAAGTGCAGGCAACTAAAGTAAAAATAGACAAGTGGGATTGTATCAAACTAAGAAGCTTCTGCACAGCAAATGAAATAATCAACAGAGTTAATAGACAATCTACAGAGTAGGAGAAAATATTTGCAAACAATATCTTCAACAAGGGAAGGAATTAAAAAGACTCAACAGGGGGTGGGGTTGTGGCTCAGTGGAAGAGCGCTTGCCTAGCATGTGTGAAGCACTGGGTTCGATCCTCGGCACCACATAACCACTAAAAATATTAAAATGATAACTAAAAAAAAATCTTTAAAAAAAGACTCAATAGCATAAAAACAAATAATCCATTTTTTAAAACAGGCCAAAGATCTGAATGTACATTTCTCAAAAGATATACAAATGGCCAATAAATATATAATAACATGTTCACCATCATCAATCATCTGGCAAATGTAAATCAAAATCACAACTGAGGGCAGGGTTAGTGGGTCAGTGGTAGAGTACCCACCTAGCATGCATGAGGCACTGGGTTCAATCCTCAGCACCACATAAAAAAAGTAAAATTAAATAAAGATATTGTGTCCCGGGGCTGGGGATGTGGCTCAAGCGGTAACGCTCTTGCCTGGCATGCAGGGGGCGCTGGGTTTGATCCTCAGCACCACATAAAATAAAGATGTTGTGTCTGCCAAAAAAACTGAAAAATAAATATTAAAAAAATTCTCTCTAAAAAAAAAAAAAAAGATATCGTGTCCCCTTACAACTAAAGTATATATATTAAAAAAACCCCACACAACTGAAGTCAGGCACAGTGGCATACACCTGTATTCTCAGCTATCATCAGGAGGTCGAGGCAGGAGGATAGCATGTTTGAGGCCAATCTGGGCAACTCAGCAAGACCCTGCCTCAAAATAAAATATAAAAAGTGCTAGGGATGTAGCCCAGTGGTAGAGCACTTGCTTAGCATGTGAGGCCCTGGGTTCAATTCCCAGTACTGCAAACAAAACAAAACTAACAAACAAAAACCTCCCCAAACCCCACAGTGGGACACTATCTCACCTTCCAGTTAGAATAATTTAATTAAAAAGACACAAAATAACAAATATATGACAAAATATATATGACAAAAGGAAAAGGTCTAGGGGCAGTTCCCAGGTCTTAAGGCAAAACAGGGCAAAATAACTTGTAAGGATGTATCATTTATCACACTGTTTGTGGGAATATAAATTAGTATAGCTATTACTAATGGCTTCCTACCCTTGAATAGTACTGAGGTTCCTCAAAAAACTAAAAAAAGAACTATCATATGACCAGATATCTGACTACTTGGTATATATCCAAAGGAAATAAAATCAAGTATATCAAAAAGATACCTATACTCCCATATTTACTGAGCAGTATTCACAATAGCCAAAATATGGATTCAATGGAGGCTTCACTGACTGATGAAAAAATATATAAGTAACATAACATATATGCTATATGTAATAAGCATAATTTATATTCACACATATACACATACATACATACATATATACAATGGATTATTATTCATTCATAAAAAGAATGAAATCCTGTCACTTTGGGCAAAATATGTATAAAATAAATATGCATATTTATATATACAAATATATGTATAAAATATAAACATGTATAAAATACATACAAACATATGTGTCAACTAAAAATAAAAAATTAAATTATTTTTCAAAAGCAGAACTTTGGAATCCGACAGACCTGGATCATTTATCAGGTGTGTTCCCTAGGTATGTCATTTCACCAAACTAAACCTGAGTTTCCTCAGCTGAAAACAATTGTGACTACTTCACAGAACAACTGTGAAGATCGAACAAAATGAGAAAATGAACATAAAGCATTTAGTCCAGTGCCTGCCCATAATAAACTCTTGTTTGTTTGTCTGGTACTGGGGATTAAACTCAAGGGCTCTTTACTGCTGAGCTACATCCCCCGCCCTTTTAAGATTTTTTTAAAAAATTTTAAGACAAGGCTTCATTAAGTTGCTAAGACTGGCCTCAAACTTGTGACCTTCCTGCCTCAGCCTCCTGAGTGACYGGGATTACAGGCGTGTGCCAACATCCCTGTCTTAAACTTTTAGTGACTATGACCATTATTGTTACCTATTCTGATGGGTCCTCATAAAAATTAAATGAACAAATGTTTTTAGAAAAACTAGTACCAAGGTTGGCACCAGGTAAGTCCTCATTTATACCAGTGATTATGATTACTGTTAACAAGGAAGCTTTTYGAAGCTAACCTAAGGGTGGCAGCAAGAAAATATGAGAAAGGAGAGAGTTGAGAAGAATGGGTAGCGGGGAATAAGAGGGCTGTAGAGACTGGGTCAGTAGGCAGAGAAGGCTGGAGGGACTGGAATTTTGCAGATTAAAGTCACTATATCAGCCAAGGAAATTCTGGAGGATGGGTGAAGAATTCATATCTCACCTGTTAGAGACCACAATGAGCCTACGTTTCAGATATTTCCTCCGCTCCTGGAGATTAACTGTGGGCACATACACAGGAGGTGGAGGAGGTCAGCATATTGGACACACAGCTCACTGGTTCCCCAAGTACAGAAGATCCTAACAATTTTATCCCCCTGACTAGCATCACCATGGATAAATCCCTTAGCTGCTGTGGATATTAGTTTTCCTGTGTTTGAAAGGAGGGAACTGGACTTATGGATGTCTGAGAATCCTTCTAATCTAGTAACAAAATATGTTAATTATTCCCACCTTTTTCCTGGTAGTAGCGCCCAAAAGCCTCATCGCGGGGGATTCGTGGATAGAGGAAGCGCAGGGGGTTCTCAGGTATGTTCTCCTCAGCAAGCAGCTGGTAATGGCGGATGATTTCAGTCAGTGGGAGTGACTGCAACACCTCCTTGGTGTAGGGCTGCACAGAGTAGATAAGCACCCTATCTGAAAAGTGAATACAGAGGCTGGCTAGAGAGAAGAGGCTCACCTAGAAGATTCTCTCCCTGGCTTCCCAGCCCCAAAGCTGCTAGAGGATTCAGGAAAGAGCCCAGGAAGCCAACAGCAGGCAGAAGGGCAAAAGGCAGGCTAGGCAGAAAGGAAAAGGTATGGGAATGGCAGGGCAGAGCAGCTAACCATCATCCTGGTGTTCCACCCAGGAGCAGGTAATGCCTCCTTCTGATGTTTCACTGAAACGTAGCAGAAACGTTCCAGAGACCATCCTTTTCAGCAGCCGGCGTTCCTGGCTCCGGCTCACAAAGCCCATGATGCATCTGGAACACAGAAAATAGCTGCAAGACCCCCAGTCCCTTGTGTGTGGGAGTGAGCATTTGGTTTTGGCCTCAGCTCTCTCACTTATAAACTTTTACATCTTGACCAAGTCACTTCTCATTGGTGATAGTACCACCCTGGCCCCAGGATTTGAAGAGGTATGAGGATTCAGTGAGATCACACAGGTGAAAAGCACACCGTAAAGGCCAAGTGATGTGCAAACAGGCAGGTAGTGTGGTGGAGAGAGCACGGCCTTGGRGTCATCTAGGCCTAGGTTTGAATCCCAACTCTGTCATCTGGGTAAATTGCTTAACTTTTCTAACATTGAGTTTCCTGCTGGGTATACACCTATAATCCCAGAAACTGGGAAGTTAAAGGAAAGGATCACAAGTTTAAGGCCAGCCTCAGCAAATTGTGAGACTCTTAGCAACTTAGTGAGATCCTGTCTCAAAAAAAAAAAAAAAAAAAAAGAGGCCAGGCATGGCAGCTCACACTTATAATCCCAGGGGCAAAGTCCTAAACAGCTTGGTAAGACTCTGTCTCAAAATAAATAATAAATTAAATAAAGGGCTGGGGATGTGGCTCAGTGGTAAACTGCTCCTGGGCTCAATCCTCAGTACCAAAAATACGAAACAAGTTTCCTCACTTGAAATGAGGATGGCAATACAACTACTCAGTAAGGTTTTAAGGATTAAATGAAAGAATTCATGAGAACACCCAGTAGGTTCTGGAACACAATAGATGCTTGACAAATACAACTCTGTGATTAGAAATGTCATCTGTAGGGTTGGGGATATAGCTCAGTTGATAGAGTGTTTGCCTCACATGCACAAGGCCCTGGGTTCAATCCCCAGTACCACACATACAAAAAAAGAAAAAATATGTGTTGGGGCTGGGGTTGTGGCTCAGTGGTAGAGTGCTTACCTAGCATGTGTGAGGCATTGGGTTAGATCCCCAGCACCACATAAAAATAAATAAACAAAATAAAGGTATTAAAAAAAAAAAAAGAAGAAGAAATGTGGGCTGAGGTTGTGGCTCAGTAGTAGAGTGCTTACCTAATATGTGTGAGCCTCAGAACTGGGTTAGATTCCCAGCACCACATAAAAATAAACAAAGAAAGTAAAGGTATTGTGTCCATCTACAACTAAAAAAAATATTTAAAAAAAAAAGAAAAAGGAAAAAAATGTCACCTGTAGTTTTTGCTCTCTCCCTGTTTGCCACACGAGGGCGCCAAGAGTCCAGTCCTGAGCCCAGAAAGAACAGACCTGCAATGGGAAGGCTGACCAAGGTCCTTACTCATCATTCCAGAGATCCTTCAGGTAGTCATGTACCAACTCCAGAATTTTGTCCAGCCATGTCCAGAATGGTAACTTGCCAGGGGGGCTCTCTCGCTGAAGTTGAAATGGAAAGGCAGAAAGAGATATGGAGTATTCTCCATTGTAGGGAAGGAGTGACAGGGAAGGGCCAGTATTTGGATTGAGGGCTTAGATCTAACTGCATAGGATGCGGGGAGTTAGTTACCTTACTGAAGTCAGCCCAGGACAACAATGCATCCTCTCCTCCAGAATTCTGCCCTGTGGGAAAGAACCATAGATCTCTTCAGATGACAGAGGAGCCAAGGCCAGGTCAGGGGACAGGGGGCCTGCCAGACTAAGGCTGGGGAAAGGCTGAGAGAAAAGAAAAAGAATTATACCGAATAGCTTGTTCTTCAGCATGCCCAGCTGCTGTGGATTGAGGCCTCGGCCAACATAGGAGGAGAACTGCCAACTGAGAGCAGGACCCAACAAGCTCCAGGGAGCCTGAGGGGGACTGGAGAAGAACTGCTGATTCTATAGCSATGAGAGGAAAGCAGGATGGCTCAGAAGCAGCCCCTCACCCCAAGATTCCAGCCCCACCCCCCACCTGCCGGCCCCATCTCCTACCTGGGGGTTTGGGCTGAGCAGATTGAACCAGAGAATTGAKGCCCAGGCAATTGAGAGTTGGTTCATGTTAGAAATAATCACCACAGGGAGGGTGTCTGTCTGTGGAGAAGACCCGAGTCACACAGGAGGGATGTGATGTTTCTAGCTACAGATATCTGGTAAGGTAAGCAGGTGAAAGCCCACCCCATGGGACCTTAGTTTATCCCTTTCTTATGCCTTTTTCCAATCTGCTTCGTCTCTCTGGCTGTCCCTCACTCACTCACTTTCARCTGCAGCTTTAGACCCTGGTAGAYGTATTTGACTGTGAAGCTAATGATGTGCAATTCCTCTGTCACAGCCAGCAGCCCCTGCAATAGCCAAAGACACAGTGATCAGAAGGCCCTTTGACAAGTTCCTCTGCCCCCCAATCCTGTCCCAACCTTACTTTATTGCCGCCCTTTCCTGAGCCACCTGAACGTTGTTCCACCAGCATCTGCGAATTGAGGAAAAAGAGAGAGTGCTAGAATAGGGATCCTGAAGTCCCTGGAACCCCTGTTTTGCCTCAAGACCTGGGAACTGCCCCCAGACCTTTTCCCTTTGGACTAGAAGCTTAAGTTACTGACACTTCTTACCAAGAAGCCAAAGTCCCAAATCAAACCATCACTCTGCCCTTTCTCTGGGGTCAAAGTTTTCTGGTTTGAGGTTAGAATGTTGAACTTCCGGAAGCTGTTCCAGGAGGAAGAATACATATGAAGGAAAAGAGCAGACTTTTTWAAAAAATTCAGGAGGAAAATAAAAGTTTCACTTCATTTCAGACATACCCTTTTCCTTTTGTCCATGTACCACCCAAGTCTCCCTCCTCATTTGTGCTCCCACCAGGGCTGCCAAATGTGGTTGTGCAGGTCATGCATACAGTGCACAGATGTTTGCAGTGTCCTTGTGAGGCACTTACCCTTCAGGAGAATTGCTGAAAAGAAATTAAAAAAAAATCATTGAGAAGTAAGAGTACAGAAGATAGGAATTTGCCCTGTGGGACCAGACAGACCTGGGTACAAACATACCTCTGTAGATTACTAGCTATGTGGCCTTGTAGAACAGACATAATCTCTCTGAACCTGTTTCCTTGTTCATATGGTACACTGATAATACCTATCTCATGGGGTTGCTATGTAAATGGGGTTGCTGCATGTAAATGCTCAACCAAAGAGGAGTTATTTCTGTGAGGTTGAATGAAAGGGGGAAGAAGAGAGTCCTAAGACGTTATTGTAAAGAATGAGTACTTTCTTTACCCCACTAGCCCCCATCCTGGCCACCACTCCTTGATCCTACCCTTCACCTGTCTCAACTGACCTGTCGATGGAGACTTCCACTGTCAGTGACTCACTGCCTTCCTGGAGTCTCACCAGCAGCCTAGGGTGGGGAAGGAGATGGATGGGATAAAATGGTCAATCTCAACCTCCCGGACAGGCAGATGTTTAAAAAAAAAGATAAAGGAAAAGAGTAGAAGAGGTAGATGAGTCAGAGAGAAATGAAGAAGAAGACAAGAATGAAAAGATCTGTAAAACCAGAAAATATACAGTGTTAGGGCTAGAAAAAGGAAGCAGGAGCAAGTTCTGAAATGCCAACCTTGTTCGGACAGTAAACTTGCTCCCAGTCTTGAGGATAAGGGGTCGATGGGGAGTTTGGGGCATACAGGGCTGGGTTTCCACAATAAAGGCTCTGGGGAAAGAATTGTGGAGAGAATACATGGTTCAGTATCTGTAAGAATATCTTCCCTTATTCCTTCCCTCCTTTTCTCCCTAGAGACCCTTCCATAGACTCCAGACCTGTGGAGCAGACTCTGAAGCAACTCTGTGACCTGGGCATTCTGCACATTCACCCCCTTGACCAGGGGGTCACCTTCATAGCTAATGTGTCTCAATTCATACAGCTGCTTCAGCAGCTGCCTCAGATGAAACAGCAGCTTTGCTCCAGCTGTGAACCTGGGGATAGAATCCAGAGAGAAGGAATCCATGAGTTTCTTGGAGCTCCCATTCAGGGTCTTGGATCTCTTTAATGCAGAGTCAGAAACTACCTGGGACAAAAAGAAAAAAAAAAAAAAAAAGAATCCAAGAGGTATATGCCAGATTACTCAACATGATTCATAATCTAAGACATGAAAATGAAAATCATTTTCACTTACAAAACTGATTGAAAGCCAAGTGCCATGGCACAGGCCGGTAATCCCAGCAGTTCAGGAGGCTGAAGTGGGATGATCACAAATTTAAGCCAGTCTCAGCAACCTTAGCAAAGCCCTAAGAAACTTAGTGAGGCCCTAAGAAATTTAGCGAGACTATGTCTCAAAATAAAATATTATAAAAAGGGTTGGGGATGTGGCTCAGTGGTTAAATGCCCCTGGGTTCAAGCCCTGGTAACAAAAATACGAAACAAGTTTCCTCACTTGAAATGA